GTCAAGAAATACTATAAAACTACAGGGCCTTTGTTTACTTGGAGAAGGTCTGACAAGACTGAGAGTTGGCAGATATTCAAAGCAAACTGAGAAAGATTTTGAGACACCAAAGACTAATACTTATTCAGTTCAGTTCAAAGAAATGAACCATCACAAGATATTAAACAACAAATGTTATCCATCACCTCATTACTATTCATATTTAGAATTGGGATATGCTGTATTTTAGCTCTTGATGAACAAACTTGGTGGTGGACAGTGAGGGTTTTAAACTGGCTATAAAAACACACACCTCTTCAGTCTCCAAACACCCATCAGAGCTATGATACTGCTAATGTATCTCTTAAGGAATGTGTAATTTATTTTGGCACGTGTAACTCCTGATTGCATCCCCAGGCCAGAAGACTTCCCCAGATTGAGCACAGCCCCTCTGTCACCCCAGCTCTGCAGCCACAGCCACAGGAATCCTGTGAGATGGGGAGAATCAGACTGGCTGACTTGTAGGTGTGGTGCATCTTGGGTACCAGGCACAGTTTAGATCTTCCTAGAGCAGTCAGAACGAAGTGAAGGAGTAACTCAGGACTCTCTGCAATTACCCTCAACTGCAGCTAATATATCCTGTGTACACAGGAAAGATTTTTACGATGTATTCGGCTCCCCAGTACAAGATACTGTACAAGTGTAGATTTTTATAATTACCAGCTATGGCCTTGCAGGTTTTCCCTTTTTTCTCTTTCTTAGGGGACTGTAAGCTGTTGCTCCTGCAGAAACTCCAGTCCCTCCAGGGTGGGCTGATCCAGAAGGAGGTGCTGCGTTTTAACTTGTTCTGAGAGATGAAGCTGCTGTGACCTGATCTGTCTGAGTTGTAGGAGAAGGACTTTGATTCTCTTATTGGGACATGCCTGGGAGAGCTACCTGTGCAATTGCAGTCACTGTTATAGGTGGAATGTATGCACAAGGCTTTATTTTGTTTCTTCCCTGAGCTGAAAACTCCTTTTTCATCACCTTCAGAGAATCCCCAGTTCACATAACCTCTTTCAGTTTCTTCCTTGCCATCACAGGAAGGTGCTGCATGCTGTTCAATATCCAGTGATGGCTGGACACCAAGAGAATGCTCAGCCTCTGAGGCACTGGTATTTTCTGATAGCAAATTAATCCGTTTCCATTGATAATCTTCTGTCTCTTTTCCAGTGAGGGTGACACTCTGCAAGCTTTGCTGCACTACAGTGCTACTTCGCAGTTCATCTCTGAATGCATCATCCCTGTATTTGGCAGGAGTGCCAAAAAAGGACAAATTTAAAGTGACATTCTCAGAGAAAGACCCTCCCTGATGGCCAGGAGGCACCAGCAAAAATTGTCCATATCTAGGTGTTGACTTAGTATCAGAGGATACTCCTGAAGTGAGTGTGTCACTTTCTATTTCAATCTTTTGAGAGCTGTCTTCTACTGCCTTTTTACTCTCAGTCCTCAGCATGTGGTCTTTGCACTCTGATGGCCACTGACTCCTTACGAAGCTCCGTAAGAGGGAAGGTGGCATGCTGTAGTAGTGGTACTTCTTGTCATACAAGCCCTCCAGGCTGCTCAGGGTCTTGGAATAGAGCGCATTGCTCCAGCTATGCGGTAGCTTCCTACAGGTTCGATGTTTTGTGTCAGCCAGTAAAGCTTCTTCCACCTGCAAGGTGTCTACAACTGAAAGCACTTTCAGGATGTCCACTGTCAAGGCAGACAGGTCTTGCAAATGTCCTAGCTGGCTGTCCAGAGAGAGTAAAGACTCCTTGATATAAAATACTTTCTCATGCACTTCTTTAAGCTGCAGAAACATCTCCTCCACTCTAGGTGGAAAAAGAAAAGATAGTTAAAATACCAAAACACAGATCTTTGCTTCTGTTTGCCAGATGCTGAAGGAATCCATTAACACATTTCAAAAAGTTGGTGTTTCAAAGTCCTTTAAATCATTACTTCTATTTGCACAAACATCTGTATTTGACAAAACCGATCCAGACTTACAACATGTCATTCAGATTACCAGGCCAACAACCCATGGCTTTTAAGGAAACAGTCTTCTTGCTGAAGGAGTATCTATTTTAGAAACTGCTACTTTCCTACTGATGTTCATTTCTTGCCTTTGAACTACTAAACCATGGAGAGCACAACACAGCTTTAGAAATGTTGCACTGGCTACTGCTGTAAATGTGAAATGCTGTAAAGTATACTTCTGGTCAGCCAGTATTCCTGCACTTTGACTTTTCTTGTGCAAGCATGAGAAGGACAAGGCTCAGACAAACCTACAGATACTCCTGCATTTCTCTAATACCAGAAAGTTCTGGGAAAATGGTCTTCTCAACCACCCATTTGGCCTCTGGGAACAGATTCTGTATGTCTGATGCCATCAGTTATCTTTAGGTAAAACTCAGCTGCCCAAAAAGCAAAGACTTTTTTAATGTTCTTCAAATCCCCAGTGAGCAGTGCAAGAACTTCCAGGCCTGAAGTGATATAATTTGAATCAAATCATTATCTTCACTTTTGCTGAAGATACTCCCTCTGTCACTCTGTCACTAAGACAATGATAAACTAGCTGAAGGCCATATGCATAACTTGTTCCTTTCCTTTGTCACTGAGTAACTAAAAGATGCTGGATTTAACTAACAGCTGAATAAAATCAAAGACCAGTGTTGCAAATATTCTATTAATATAAATTAATGTATTGTATTAATGTTATGCAATACTATGAAGAGTATTTCACCTTTGCACTCAGAAAAAAAATTCCTTTCCATTTGTTTGTTTATCCACTAAGTGAAATCATCTTGCTGTAAACAATTCTGCAGCTACTTATTTTATTCCTTTTACAGGGGATATTCATTTTGCTTCTGTATTTTGTTTTAGTATGCAGAAAATAAAAATTATGAACAGGCGAAGATTAAGGGACTATCTTTCTCTAGGCACAAATAAATAAATTAAACAAATAAATAAATATTATGTGAGATCAGTATTGCCATTCAGTAAGACTTTTTATAGTGCTCAGTTTCTTTAACACTTCCCATTAAATTTAATAGCAGCTTTGCCATTGATTTAAGTTGAAAGCTAAATTAGGCCAATACTGACAGTTTTGAAACCCCACTGGCAGTTGTGTATTTATGTTTTACAAACACCACATTGCAGATAATGCTACAATGGTTATATTCTCCTCTCTGTAAACAGCAGTTATACTCAGTCACAAGCAATACTCTTACAGCATTCTCACAGTACTAAGCCTTTAAATAAAAACATGCATTGTATGCCATATTCTGGGATGTTTTTGTGATGTTACTCGGTCTGCAAAAGTGAAACTGAGCACCACTTTACCACAACCCTTTAACCATCTGCACACTACACACCTCTGGGGATGCAATTCTGCCAGCAATGCTTCCCAGCCTGGCCTGCCATGCTGCTCAAATACATTTCATTTCCATCAAATTACCAAGGTCTATGCATGTTATTGCTCCTACAGTTCATACTGGCCATAACCTGTTCCAAAGTTGTTTTTTATATGACAAATGCATACAAAGAGCACAAATCTGAAACAAAACACACCTTTCTGTTGTCAGACGAATCCTTTCACTGTCACTGGAACTCAGGCTTTCATTCTTCTCATAAAAATATTTTTCCACACACTGTTCCTCAAAGTCATGGAGTTTCTTTAGTTCCTCATCACTCAGGTACAGCTCTGAACAAAGGAGGTAGGAGTTATTATGAAGCATGCTGACAAATACAATTGGTTCTAAGCATCCATAAATGAAAACTGTCAGAAAATATTTCCTTCACCTCCCTTGAAAAGACTGACTTAACTCCATTAATCTGGGGTTTTGTGGAAAGAGTCAATATGCCAAATGTATGTAAACATGCTTTTTATCTTTCCTTAGATAGGTAGCAAAACCACACTGATGAAAACTCCAGTGCAAACTGCCTTTTAAAGCTTCACAAGTACATACCCAAACGGCTGTTTACAAAGATGTAGTTTCTGCCAAACTTTTTTCGGTATTTTGTTATACATGTGTGGCTCACAAGACTTAGATACAGATATGTAAGACTTCCAAAGATTTCACTGTAACTTCATCCAGGTATTAATTTATAACTGCTCACCCTTAACAATTACAGTCTTTTCAGGTACTCAAAGCTACAAAGCTTTTTTTCACTTAATTGCCTCACATGTTCAAATACAAAATAAGCATTAAGCAAGGTTACTGGGCAAAAATGAACACTGTCAAAAAATTTAAACTACACAGCTTTGGTTGCTTATGATGCTATTCTTCTGGCACACCAAGACTTCTGAGAGAACAGATTAATTTTAAGTCAGTATGAAGAAATGCATACAGTGGAAAGCTATTTCTCTGATCCAAATTCTGCATCTTCCAAGTTCCTTATTCTTTCCTTTTTTACATACCAGAATCTTCACTGTTTTTGTATGCATATATCAGATCAAAGAGACAGGGAGGTCTGCTGCCTCCCTGGGACCCGGGTAAGAGATTTTACAGAAAAGGTCTCTAACCTGGTACACCCCTCTGACTGCTACCCAATACTGATCTTTCAGGTGGGTAATGAGGAAATTGTTACAAGTCCAAGGGGAATCAAGAATGACTTCAAGGCATTGGGGAGAATAGTCAGGGACTCAGGGGCCCAAATTATCTTTTCTTCCATACTACCAGGAGCAGGATATTATGAAGGAAGAAACTGGAAAAATCTCATACCTGGGTCCAGGGTAGGTGCCACTGACAGAATTTTGAATTCTTTAACCAGGGATCAGCATATACATCACCGGGCCTGCTGGCAAGAGATGAGTGCACCTATCTCAGCACAGGAAGAGGTCTCAATCCCCTGGTGCAGGAAGTCGAGCAAGGGAGGCAAGAGACCAGCATGGCTGAGTCGGGACCTGCTGGTGAAACTAAAAGGCAAGACGGACCTACACAGGCAGTGGAGAAGGGGACAGGTATCCTGGGTAGAGTATAGGGACACTGCCCCATTATGCAGGGATGAGGTCAGGAAGGCCAAGGCACAGCTAGAGCTGAACTTGGCAAGAGATGTTAAGGAAAACAAGAAGGGCTTCTACAGGTACATGAAGTAGAAAAAGAAGGTTAAAGAAAGCATTCCCCCCTGCTGAGCCACAATGGTGAAATGGTAGCAACAGACGAGCAGAAGGCTGAGGTTCTCAACAACTTTTTTGCTTCAGTCTTCACTGGCAACCCCTCTCCTCACAACTGTCAAGTTGATGGCCCACAAGATGCAGACTAGAGAGACAAAGTCTCCCCTACTGTAAGTGAAGATAAGGTTCGTGACCATCTGAGGAACCTGAAGAGATACAGGTCCATGGGACCTGAAGAGATGCATCCCAGAGTCCTGAAGAAAATGGCCAATACAATTGCGAAACCACTGTCCATGATATTTGAAAAGTCATGGCAGTCAGGTGAAAACCCTGGTGATTAGAAGAAAGGACATGTTACGCCCACCAACCTGGGTGGTGCAGCCAGTGTTCCAGAGGGACGGGATGCCATCCAGAGGGATCTGGATAAGCTAGAGAAGTGGGCCCAGGTGAACATCATGAGGTTCAACAAGGCCAAGTGCAGGGTCCTGCACCTGGGCTGAAGTAACCCAAGATATGAATACAGGCTGGGGGAGGGCATGCCTGACAGCAGCTCTGTGGAAAAGGACCTGGGGGTACTAGAGGATCAAAAGCTGGACATGAGCCACCAATGTGCAGTTGCAGCCCAGAAGGCTGCAGGCCAGTACCTGAAGGGGGCCTACAGGAAAGCTGGGGAGGAACTTTTTACAGGGGTTTGCAGTAAGAGGACAACAAGTAGTGGTTTAAGCTGAAAGAAGAGAGATTTAGGTTAGAGATCAGGCAGAAATTCTTCAGTGTAAGGGTGGTGAGACACTGGAACAGGCTGCCCAGAGATGCTGTGGGGGCTCCATCCATGGAGGTGTTCAAAGGCAGGTTGGATGGGGCTCTGAGCAGCCTGCTCTAGTGGGAGGTGTCCCTGCCCATGCAGGGGAGTTGGAACTTGATGATCTTTAAGGTTCCTTCTCAAACTCAAACTCAAAAAACTCAAAAAATTCTGTGATTCTCTGATTTGCTGGGTGGGGGGAACTGTGTGTCTGTGTCAAGTGACATGGCAATATTTGCTACAACCATGAAGTACTTGACTGCAACACACAGCTCAGCAGGGGTGCCCCCTACAGCTTTCTGGGGTGCCCCTCTCACCCCAAAGGAGACCTGCTCACCTTCTAGGCTCTTTTCCCCCATAACCCACCAGTGCTCTTGCCTCGAAGATTTTAGTCTCTGTATCTTGGTATTTTCATTTGTTTTCCACTGGGTGGCACTGAATCCTCATTGCTAAAACCAGTTCATTATAACCACACCAAAATTTAAGTACAAGGATGTTATCAAGCAATGCATAGGCATATAGAAAAGGTATATAAACAGGAAAAAAAAGTCTCTTTCTGAGAGAAGTGTAGGCAACATATGAGCTCTCTTCTATTCAAGGCTTTTTAGATGTGCTAAGCAGTGTTTCAGGTTTCCTTGTGCCCAATGCACCTTACAAGTAAAATATCCTCTATGCTACAGCAGTGAATAATACTATGCCTGCATGTAAAATCAGCCATTGTACTTCAAAGGCAGGTTTATGTATGCAGTCATGACAGAGGAGCTGAGCCTGGAAGCAGCAGTAAAACAGCTCAGCATTGATTTGTTAAGTCCATTTTTAAACACTTTAACCACCTGTGAGTGTGCCAGGTATCTTCAGGGATTCATGTTCAGCAGAGAAAATCCCAGGTGAAGCACAACCTAGGCAGTGTCTGCATCAAGACAAGCATCAAGAACGTACATTGCATCAAAAAGGATGAGGCTGTAGAATACTGTGGGTCAATATTCCAATATGTTTTTTTAGGTAAGGTTACAGCCACCAGCCTCCTATTCCCCATTCCTCTGCTTCATCTCATCAACTACTAAGGCCCACAATTAAGTATTCATTCCCATTTCAATATCTTGTGATCCCCTCACCCCAACAGCTAGGGCTACTTGTGGCAGAGCTGCAAGAGCTGCCAACAGTAGGACGGGGAACTAACAATGCCTTGAGGAGGCAATTCAGAAGGATCCTGGGGTGGATGGGTCCAGGCTGTATAGCGGCTGGGGATAAGGTGCAATGATGAGCCAATGCACAAAGAAAAGGATGCAGTGAGAAGGTGGGAGGCCCCTGTGCCTCCTGTTCCCTGTGCCCTCCATCTTTGCATCTGACATCACTGGATCTCTTCTGCCCTTGGGCTCTGCAGCTAATTTCTCTAGGAAATTAAAAAGGAAGAGTTGATCTTTTCAGGACAAATGTACAGAAATTCATACCTTCAGTATTGTTTACTTTCTTTCAAAATAAGACTACTCTATCCTAAACAAAAAGCTGTTGTCCCTTTATTTCAGCACAGAGTTGTGATGTATCTTGATTGGTGCACAGTATGTAGCAAAGCAAAGGCCAAATACAAAGCAAAGCATTCCCTTAGACATTTATTTTCTTTTTTTCCTTTTTTTTTTTTTTTTCTTTTTTTTTCCTTTTTTTCTTGGAGGGACTGAGCTACAAAATGATGGGAGGCTGGTAAAACATTGCTCATCAGCTAATTTTTTTGGTCCCCAGCTTAGTACTGCTTACTTAGTCCAACATCGCCTTCCTCTTGATCCAACTCATTTGGAGGCCGATGGTGGAAGATGCGGTTTATCAGAAGTCCAATGTGGCTAAAGAGGATGAAAGGTGGAGGCAGCCATGGCTTCTCATGATAGGTCATAATGTAGCGGTACCGGTTGTACTTCCAGAGCTTGTTTGATATGGATTTCAAATCATAATAAACATTACTAAGAAGAGAAAAAGAGGAAGAAGGAGAGTAAGACATTCCTGTGAGGAATATTCCAAATGCAGCTTGTCTACAGATCTAATTTGACAATGAAGAGAAGTCCCATTCCTCAAGTGAGGTAAATCAGCTTAGTAACTTCCATTTAACAAAGCAACAGCATGGGCTTGCAGCCAGTGCACTGAGAATGAGATCTTCAAAGCTGTCTACTGGATTTGGGTATCCAATTCCCATTCACATGGGCAACTGGGCAAAAAGTATCCCTGAAGTGTCTTTGAAATCTCAGCCAGATTATTTAAACTTTAATACATAGCCTAACTGAGAATTCAACATTGTCTGCCTTTTTGGACTGGATGAGATGTAGGAGTCATGCTGAGGGAAAACTGTTAACAAAACAGTTCTGCTGGTCTTCAGTATGCTCCCCCTATGCAAAATATTTGCTGCAAGAGGTAGCAGTTCTTCTGCAGGGTACTCTTCAGAGCTGTGATGATACTAAACATCACTATTGTTGCACTAATTTCCCATATCTACTATCATAGGCCCAAATACAGGAAAGCAACTTTAGGTTTTCAGTTACATCATCATTCTACACACTGAATGTATAATCACAAAAGCATCAGCTTTGCTTCTGGGAGCATAATTAAATGTATTGCTCAAACCCATTTTTGGTCCCCCTTCTGGAATAATCAAATCACTAGGCAGTTTTAATATAGGATCATTGCTAAAGATTTAAATCTAGAAAGAATTACAATTTCACAGCTGTGCATTAAGGGGGAAAAAAAAAAAAAAGTTGCCTTGCTACAATTTCAGGAAAGGGATTTCTAATTAGAAGTGGGAATAGAATAAGTTTTGATCATTCAGTTTTCTTGAATATTAATCACTACACTTCTTGATTTGAAACTTTTGTAACCTATTAGCTGGTTTTTCCTTCCTCAGAAATAATAGAACTCTAGGAGAAAATAATTAACTACTTGGACTAAACTGTTCTTTACTAATACTTCAAAGAACTTGATCCACTACAAGACTTTCCCTGTTAAAACTTGAAAGGTTAGAATTATCATAAAGACACATTAATTACTACAGAATTACTATGAATTAATATGGAATTATTACAAAAACTCTACTCTGGCAGCAGATATTAAAAAGCAGATAGTTAAAAACATCACAGTAAGATTTCAGTCTAGAACATACCAAATTGCACCAAACAACAGGAATCTTGGTAAAACAAGCACAGCTTTTAGGCCCAAAGGGCAAATCTTCTAAGCTGAATTAATGTTACTTGTTTGCCAAATGGAGTTGTCCACTTTCACAGAGTCAGAGTCCATTTAAATGGCAAAACAGTTTTGGTGTCTGCTTGGCATCCACTTCCTCTGACCCTCTTGCTTTCACTGTTTTTTATTCACCTGACTCCCAAGGAAGGTGGGGAAATAACCACCAACATTCCATTGCTGGGGTATTTTTGTTTAAAGGTTTTTGTGGAAGCATTGGCAGAATAATTGCTCTTCTCAGTGATGTCCAGTGATAGGACAAGGGGCAATGGGTACAAACTGGAACACAGAGGTTCCACGTAAGCATCAGGAAGAACTTCTTTCCTGTGAGAGTGACAGAGCCCTGGAACAGGCTGCCCAGAGAGGTTGTGGAGTCTCCTTCTCTGGAGACATTCAAAACCCGCCTGGACATGTTCCTGTGTGATGTGCTCTAGGCGATCCTGCTCTGGCAGGGGGGTTGGACTAGATGATCTTTCGAGGTCCCTTCCAACCCCTAAGATTCTGTGATTCTGTAACATCTATTAGTTGCTTTTGCAGCAATATACCATGGTACCTACTTAAAGAAAGCAATAAGCAAATTGACCATGATGATGTACTGCACAAAGAGGTAGACAGCTTGGAGGAACGGCGTGAGGAAGGAGCCGGGAGGACAGTCTTCATTGGTTTCACAAACTGAAAGTTAAGGACATACAGAGCACAGTTAGTATGGAAATCAGAGCACAGCACAGCAGTGGCATGTGCTCATTTGCCTGAGCAAGAGACAGTCTTCATTATTTTCACAGAGATACATTACAAGATTTCCAACTGTCAAGTCTACCTCCTCATATAGGAAATCTGAGACCTCTTTGTGATACTACTGCCCCACAGTTTACATCGTAATTCAGAAGCTGTAGATGCCATTTCAGGTGTCTCAGTTCTTATA